TTTCCAAAGTAATCCCCCACTGAAACTTCAACCACCTGGCCGGGCTCATTCCCCAACACCAGGTCCAGTATGGCCCCTTCCCGAGTTGGACTGTTTACATACTGCTCTAGAAAACCCTCCTGGATGCTCCTTACAAATTCTGCTCCATCTGAACCTCTAACACTAAGTGAATCGCAGTCAATGTTGGGAAAATTAAAATCTCCCATCACCACCACCCTGTTGCTCCTACATCTTTCCATAATCTGTCTACATATTTGTGCCTCTATCTCACGCTCACTGTTGGGAGGCCTGTAGTACAGCCCCAACATTGTTACCACACCATTCCTATTTCTGAGCTCTGCCCATATTGCCTCACTGCTCAAGTCCCCCAATAGTGCCCTCCTTCAGCACAGCTGTGATATCCTCTTTGACCAGTAATGCAACTCCTCCACCCCTTTTACCTCCCTCTCTATCCCGCCTGAAGCATCTATATCCTGGGATAATTAGTTGCTAATCTTGGCCTTCCCTCAACCAAGTCTCAGTAATAGCAATAACATCATACTCCCAGGTACTAATCCAAGCCCTAAGTTCATCTGCCTTACCTACTACACTTCTCGCATTAAAACAAATGAACCTCAGATCACCTGTTCCTTTGTGTTCATCATCTGCTCTCTGCCTACTCTTCCCCTTAGTCACACTGACTTCATTATCTAGTTCCTTACAGGCTTTAGTTACTACCTCCTTACTGTCCACCAACCTCCTCATTTGGTTCCCATCCCCCTGCCACATTAGTTTAAACCCTCCCCAACAGCATTAGCAAAAGCAGCCCCTAGGACATTGGTTCCAGTCCTGCCCAGGTGTAGACCGTCCAATTTGTAATCGTCCCACCTCCCCCAGAACCGGTCCCAATGTCCCAAAAATCTGAACCCCTCCCTCCTGCACCATCTCTCAAGCCACTCATTTATCCTGCCTATTCTTTCATTTCTACTCTGACTAGCACGCGGCACCGGTAGCAATCCTGAGATTACTACCTCTGAGGTCCTACTTTTTAACTTGACTCCTAACTCCCTAAATTCTGCTTGTAGAACCTCATCCCGTTTTTTACTTATATCATTGGTGCCTATATGCATCAGAACAGCTGGCTGTTCACCCTCCCCCTTCAGACTGTCCTGCAGTCGATCTGAGACATCCCTGACCAGTGCACCTGGGAGGCAACATACCATTCGGGAGTCTCGTTTTTGACCACAGAACCGCCTATCTACTCCCCTTACAATCTAATCCCCTATGACTATAGCTCTTCCACTCTTTTTCCCACCCTTCTGTACAGCGGGGCCAGCCACGGTGCCATGAACCTGGCTACTGCTGCCTTCCCCTGGTGAGCCATCGCCCCCAACAGTATCCAAAACGAGATAGTAGGAACTGCAGATGGGAATTTCTTCAGAAATTTCTGAAGAAGGGTCTAGGCCCGAAACGTCAGCCTTCCTGCTCCTCTGATGCTGCTTGACCTGCTGTGTTCATCCAGCTCTACACCTTGTTATCTCAGTATCCAAAACGATATACCTGTTTTAGAGGGAGATGACCGCAGGGGACACCTGCGCTGCCTTCCTGCTTTTTTTCTGCCTTTTGGTCACCCATTCCCTTTCTCCCTCAGCAATCCTAATCTGCGGTGTGACCAATTTGCTGAACGTGCTATCCATGACTTCCTCAGTATTGCGGATGCTCCAAAGTGAGTCCATCCGCAGCTCCAGAGCCGTCATGCGGTCTAACAAGAGCTGCAGCTGGGCACACTTCTTGCACATGTAGGAGTCAGGGACTCCTAATCTACAAACTTACTAACCATACTTCCTATGTTCACATCCAAATAATTTATATAAATGACAAAAAGCAGTGAACCCAGCACCAATCTTTGTGGCACACTACTGGTCATGGGGCCTCCAGTCTGAAAAGCAGCCCTCTACCACCACCATCTGTCTTTCTTTTAACTTTGTTACATTCTATTATCATGTTCTCTCTCCCCTTTCCCCTACCCCTGTGGGATTGTCTGCCCTTTAAAGTCTGGCAGGTACACACACCATTGTTCTGCCATTCTCACATGACGACCATTTAATCTGAATTAACAACATCTTTTTCCACCAGCACCCTACACCACCACGCCCACACCAGCCCCCAACAAACTATAGCGTAAATGATGTCCCCTCCATACATCACTTCAGCTCTGATGAAGAGTCATCTATAGACTCGAAATGTTAGCTTGCTCTCTCTCCGTGGATACTGTCTGGCCCGCTGTGATCTCTAGTGTTTATTGTTTTCAGTATCACACACAAAGCCTGAAATAGTGAATGATCTTTCAGGCATTGAATGTTTCATTGATGATCTCCTACTCTGTGGATGTGAAGGGATGATAAAAGAAGCCATCGCAGACCCGGTAAGATGGTGGTGGAGTAGCACAAGCCTGGGGTTCGTCTGCTCCATCTGTTTTTCTTTTCATTTCTTTTCTTTTTTATCTCTTTTTTCTCTTTTATTTTACTTACCTCTTGTTGTGACAAGAGAATTGGTGCCAGTGAGTGAGCCTAGAATGGATCGAGTGGAACCAGTGTGGACTTGAATAGGCCTAGCGCTGATTCATGACTGCTGTGGCGGAGGTGAGTTTGGGTTCCCAGCAGCATCTATGCCCAGCACAGATTCATGGAGGCGGAAGCATAGGCCAAGTTTGGGCCCAGTATGAGACCCAGTGGCATAGGCAGAGGTTGCATCAACAAGAAGTGCCTGAAGTGGCGGTGGTGGAGTCTGGTTTAGGCTGTCAGTGGCATCTGCATTTATGAGGTCCATCAAGGGCTCATACTGATGACGGTGTTGATGGAGGCGAGATGGCACTGAAGAGTGGCGACTTTTGTTCCAGTGATGTGGTAAATGGGATACCAAGCCCATGGTCCATGACAGAGCACTTAACAAGAAGAATGTAAAGTTGAACATTTTTTCTTTATCTCTTAATCTTTCTGCCTTTATATTCCATGTTTTGGATCATTTTTTGTTGTTTTAACATGGAGCTGGAAAGTGATGTTTCTATATAAAACTTTTCACTGTATTTTAGAAATAAAAACACACGTGACAATAAATTAATCCAATCAACTCGACTGCTCGAGAGAGATTAACAGATAAACCTGAAGTTGAACAAGAAAAAGTTGCAATGAACAATGCCCGAAGTAAAGTTCAAAAATTATCAGCAAAAGACCTTTGCCTGGATCCTGAGGTGCAGTGACTAACAAATGTAAAAGGGTTAGATCCATGAACTACCTAAAGACATGCTTGGCTAATTTGTTTCCATATGAACCTGTACCCAAGCTCAATGCTAACGATATGCAGTGGGATATTGGGGCATACAACAAGTAGTAGCTTTCACTCTCATCAAATAACAACAACTCACATGCATGCCATTAAAAACCTGAATTCTTTTAGAAATTATGCATGAAATGCATGTACAGTGATGGATGAAAGTAGGTCTGGCTGTACTGAATGTACAGTTTTTGTTCATGAGTGATTTTTTTTTATTGATCATGTACATTAGATAACCTTTAACTGCAAATGATACTGCATGCGTTTGTTTTAGCTTTGTTTACGAAAAGGAAGTTCTTTGGAGAAATGTGTTTGTAAGGATACTGTACATTTGTGTCTTGCATAGTCACATGACCTCTGTTGTAAGCTGCTCTGATTCGGCATAAGCAGCTATTAAACACTTTCCATGAGAAAAGGTTGATTCCTCTTAAAAGTTTAGAGGGATACTGGTGAATATAAGCAATTGAGCCAGACGTCTCAGTGTTGAACTGACATTTTAGCTCATGTCTGGGACTATTAAGCCATGCCTAATAGCCACAAAGAGGGTGCATTTGACACAGCAGACCTAATAGGAAGCAAAAAGAACCAATGCAGAGAGATTCAGATAGGGATTAGAAGCTACAATTACTTTACTTCAATCCTATAGCATTTTCCGTCACCACACACATCCTGCCATTGTCAATTTGCAATAAAATTCTCTGTCTGATCATTTCAGCTGATGTTTCTTTGTATACTTGTCTGAGTTCCACCCACTGATGAAATCAATTTTAACTGAAGAAGTCTTTATTTAGAAAAAGGATGCCATTTCTGGTATAAATTAAACAGGCTTCACAAGTCTTCACCCAGTTTAGCTGTAAAAATCTGAAAAATGTCTACCTCTTATTTCCTGTTCAGGATCTTGATTTTCTGCAACAATATTTAAAAGTATTTTGATCTGGTGCATTATGAAAAATCCAAACCAATTAATTCATGTCTGGGTTTTAGCCAAACTCCAAACGCAGCTTTCAGCATATCAGGAGTCAGGGAAGAGGAAAAGCTAAACCTTGTAGATTGAGAACTGCCAGAGATCCTGAATCTTGTCCTCAACAATTTTAAAATTGAGAACTTTCCCAAAAGACATATGGTACGTGTTGTGGTAAATATCCAGAGAGGATGAGGAACCTATCTCCATCACAGTAGTCCAGGATGGGGTAACACACACTGATTCCCCTCATTCAAAATCCCTGTTAAAAATGAAAGTAGGACACAGAATAGGAGGGGTAGTAGGGACTGCAGATGCTGGAGAATCTGAGATAACAAGGTGTAGAGCTGGATGAACACAGCAGGCCAAGCAGCATCATAGGAGCAGGAAGGCTCCTTAAGAGGCTTCGCAGTGGGGTTAAAATTGTATCAGAGATAGTAGGAACTGCAGATGCTGGAGAATCTGAGATAACAAGATGTAGAGCTGCTTGGCCTGCTGTGTTCATCCAGCTCTACACCTTGTTATCACAGAATAGGAGGGGTTTGGTCTTGGGACCTCACTGTGAAACAGACCAGACCAGCCACCTTCTGAGAGCACACTGAGCAAATGGCATTGCCACAAGATAAAGGAATGTTTACAACAGCCTGTGCAACATGAGAAAGCAGCCTTCAAAAGGAAGATTAAAGTCAAACACAGAATACAGGCTGGGAAGTTACATGAATCTTACCTTGAAATGCAGATTCTCAGTTTCCATTTATATGAAATCTATATGAAATCACTGTCACCAATCCTGAAGATGTTCCTCGTTTTCATTCAGCAAATCACAGTTTGGTAATTGGAGTTGTAACTTGAGACTAAAATAAACATAAAGCACTACAGATGCAGAAAATCTGAAACAAAAACAGACTGCTGCGGAAACACAGCAGGTCTGGCAACATCTGTGGAGAGAAAACAGATTTAGAATGCTTCAGAGATAGTAGGAACTGCAGATGCTGGTGAATCTGAGATAGTAAGGTGTAGAGCTGGATGAACATTTTCTGAAGAAGGGTCTAGGCCCGAAATGTCAGCCTTCCTCCTCCTCTGATGCTGTTTGGCCTGCTGTGTTCGTCCAGCTCTACACCTTGCTATCTCAGATTTAGAATGCTGTCAGACCTGATGTGCTTCTCCAGGTCTCTGTTTTTCTTGCAATATAAGATTTGTGTCTTTTTTTTAAAGCTTTAAAATAGAAATAAACCAGTTTAACAACTCGATCAACTGTGATCAAAGCTAGTTACATTTATTTAAATACTGTTTTATGGTCAATTCAATTGGAGACAATTGTGGAAATGTATTTTTTACCTTCCTTCTGAAGCTATATGAAACAGTCCACCAGTTCCCTGATACTTGGGCTTTCAGTTCTCACAGTAAGCACCTGATGTTTCAATGCAGTGAGCGCTCACCATCTCCAAAGATGAATGTACTAATCATTTAAACTGCTGAAAGTGCTGTTAAACAGTGAGGAAATCATGGGTTGAATCTTATCAGAATTCAGCTAAGTGTCATCTTTATTGAGTTTCATGGAGGGCTTCACTCTACCAGACAAGTTTGTCCCAAATCTGCCTCATTGTCTATCTACTATGCTCTATGGCGTATATCTTGTCCATTGCTAGCTTAATGCTTCCACTTGCTGTAGCCAGAAGTAATTGATACTGCCTTGAAATTTCACGATATTTGGTACTGGCACCATGTTTAAAAATGTCATTGTGCCACCGGTCAGTGCTGGCAGACCAGAGCTGCCCATGGCAGACAAGAGGATGTTGGTATCTTACTTTATGGACAGGGACCTGGAGGACAGGGTCATGCAGACGAGAGGCATACTTTTCTCTCAGGACTGGCCGAGGACACCACAATACCAAATTTTGCCAGACTGGTCAGAGGTTCATCCTGATTAGTTGCGTGACACACGACTCCATGGTCTATGGTCTGTTCCGCAAGACAGACACCGAGACAAACATTGACTGCACCTCTAGGAGCATCAGTTCAGTGAAAGACATCCATTGGTCTGCCTGAAACTTGTTGGTCTTTCAGTAATATCAGTAAGACAACATATTGTAATCCTTTGAGGTCTAGTTGAGGGGCCAAAGTGCAAAAAGGCAAAGCAAGGCACAAGGGAGGTGCAAATGAGTGAGCACTAAGACATCGACTGAGCAGCCTGAAATGCAGTCTTGCCTAGTCTGTGAGGTGGGGACCTGTTCTTTTGCACAAATTATCCAAGCAGCATGGCAGTGCAGTCATGTATCATAAGAGGACCATTGCTATGGGTGCCATGGAAATGTGGAGAAGCTGGCATGTGTTGGATGCTACAAGTTGAATGCCAGTGCCTACAAACATGGGTGCGTGGCTGTTGCCCATGGAGCATGCCCTGAAATGTTGATGCCAGGTGTTCAAGATAGATGTCTGGAGGAGCAAGTGGCAAGCTGGTGTCGCAGATACCCACTAATTTTTGTGTTGAGAATTCTCAGCATCTAGTTTCTATTCAGTGGGTGGTGGAATAGGAACCTATGTATTAATGAGGTAATATTAAGTAATAATGAGCATTGTAACTAGCAATGATCCCCATTAATAGACCTCTTGCCGTTTACTCATAATAATATCATCTCAGCCTCCAGGATTTGCTTGGTAAGTGCGACTTATCAGTCTCAATGGCAAGAAAGGCCTCACTTGACATCTAACATAGTTCTTCCAAATTATTCACCATTGTCGATAGTTTTTGGGGTTTGCGATCAGTTACATAATATCGGCAGTCGACAATGTGTAAGTAACTTTCTCGTGTTGAGGTTGGTTGGCTCGACGAGCTGGTGTGTTCATCATCATCAGTGCAGCTGTTACCCAGCAGGGTAATGAAACGTCTGCAGAACAATAAACCAGCTCGGTGAGCCAACCAACCTCAACACCCACAACCCGAGCTACAAATCTACTCCAAAACCTTAAAACTTTCTCATGGTTTATTGAGTTTGCAAAGTAGCATTAGTTTAGGCTTAATAATAAAAGTAAACAACAGTGACAATTGGTATCAGCGACTAACACGAGAGGACAAACAGACTGTCAGCATCACATGTTTCATTCTCATTTAAGTGGTGGTAGTAGCATCCTGCTCCCTCGTCGAGGTGGTAGGGAATTCTTCCCTTGGTCTTCCACTTCTTCTTCTGGTCCATCTTTCATCTGCCTGACGAGGACTGCTCAATGAAGTCTGCTCTCTGGGGACCAACTGTTGTCTACAAGGTCGGCTTGATAAGAACTGCTCTCTGAGAGAACTTCTCTCTGCCCCAGCCCTTATTATTATTTCATATTTGCAGGGGCAGGTAACTCACACTTTGTCAATCAATTGTCTGACTGCTTTTGGCCAGTGGCTATGGGGCTGCAATGGAGGTGGCAGAAATGGCAGCTTATGATCTTTTGGATGCAATCGTTGTGGGATGGAAAATGAGGACTAAAGGGACCCTATCAATGTTGTGTGAGGGAAGAAAAGGTGGGTGGTTACAGCAGAAGTGCGGGAAATGAACGGGACATGGTTAAGGGCCCTGTCATTCCACTGGGGGCCTCAGAAATGTCCACCTTTTATCTCAGGTGAGGATTCCACCTATCTTCACTTTCCAACCTTCCAGCATCTTAGATTTGATTGGATTTGTTATTGTCACATGTACCTAGATACAGTGTAAAAGTTTGCTTTGTGTGCAGTAGAGGAAGATCATATAGAGTGCGTTAACAAAGTGAAGAATACAACGTTACGACTTCAGACAGAAAGTGCACAGAGAGCTCGTGCAACATTAAATTTAAAATTTGACACGTTCATTCATAAGTCCAAAAACAGAAGGGAAGAAGCTGTTCTTAAATATATTCGTACGTGCAAATAAATCTTTGTATCTTTTGCCGGTAGATGGTGGAACAGAGCATAACCGGGTGGCAGGGGTCTTTGAATATATCAGTTGTTTTCCCGAGGCAGTGGGAAGTAAATATGGAGTTAATGGATAGAAGGCTGGTTTGCATGATGGACTGGACGATGTTCACAACTTTCTGCAGTTTCTTGTAGTCTTGGGAACATTACTGTGATGCATCTGTATCCAAAGAATCATGAGCTGCCATTTCCACCACCTCCAACAGGATGCCACCACCAGGTACACACTCCCTTTCCCTCTCTTGCCAGCATTCTGCAGGGACTATTCCCTCTGGGACAACCTGGTTCATTCCTCCCCCACTCCCAACCCACCCTCAGTGGCACCTTCCTAAGCAATCGCAGATTGTCGGTTTACCTCCTCCCTTCTTACTATCCAAGGTCCCAGATTTCCAGGGGAAGCAGTGTTTTATCTGCACCTTCACTCAATCGAGTTTACTTTATTCACTGCTCACATGTGCTCTCCTCCACACCGGGGAGACGAGGCACAGACCGGGCGACCCACATTGTAGGACACCCATGTTACCTAAAATGACCCCGAGTTTCCTGGTTTCCTGCCATTTCCACTCAGCACCGTGTTCCCTGGCCCCAACGTCTCTGGGTCGGAGCCAGCTGCAGGTCTCCAGCGAGGCTCAGCACAAACTGGAAGAACAACACAAACTCATTTTCCGCTTATGGACCCTGCAGCCTTCAGGACTCAATATCGAGTTCAACAATTTTACAGCCTCAACACCTTCTTCCATGTCCTTTACCTACAGCCCCGGCCCTTTGTCATAACACGGGGCTGCTTCAGGCACAGCCAAACCCCATTTTCACCTGTAGCCCCATGATCAGCTTTTCTTTCTCCCTGCCTCACAACTATCCACCTGTCTGCTCTTCTCTCTTTCTGGGCTCCATCTCCAACTATTGCAGGACTGACAGCCCTCACCCACCGACCTACACATTTTTCTAGCTACTATCAGTTCTGATGAAGGGTCACTGCATCTGAAACGTTACCTCTGCTTTAACTCCACAGAAACTGTCAAACCTGCCGAGTTTCTCCAGCGATTTCTATTTTCGTCCACATTCACCTCCAGACGGCGTTCCGTGGGCGGGATCTCACTTCCTATTGGCCAAAACCACGGGATTGACAAACATCTTGACCAATCAGAACTGGGCGGGGAGGTAAGGCCCGCCCTGAGGGCTCACGCGTAGTCTCGAGGCGCGGCCGATTAACCGACTCCGCGTGAGTTCGGTTGGCGGGTGGTTGGGAGCTTCCCGCTGGCGAGAAATGAGAGTTTATTTTTAAATTTTTGCAGTGAGGGTGAGAAAACAGTTTCGATATTCATCAGCAAACTGTTAATGTGCAGATATACTGAGGAGGAAATCTTTCCTATCCATGTGCCTGTCCAAATGATGTCGGCGCTCGGGGTTTACAGGATACCAGCATGAGATACATCCAAGGGTTTTGAGTGAATTGAGAGGAGAAATTGTGGGGGAACTGGCTATAACATTACAGTCTCCCCTAGACTCGGAGGAGGTGCCAGGAGACTGGAGGATTGACAACGTTATGACTTTGTTCCAAAAGAAGCCTTCCTGCTCCTATGTTGCTGCTTGGCCTGCTGTGTTCATCCAGCTCTACACCTTATTATCTCAGATTTTCCAGCATCTGCGGTTCCTACTATCTCTGATACAATTTTAACCCCACTGCGAAGCCTTTTCTAAGGATGCCTACCCTGAAGAAGTTGCCCTCCTCCCTTCGGAGCCTTCCTGCTCCTATGATGCTGCTTGGCCTGCTGTCTTCATCCAGCTCTACACCTTGTTATCTGGGATAAGCCTCGTCAGTTTAACTCTGGTGGTGGCGAAGCTTCTGGCAACAGTTATTTGGCATAAAGGTAGGAATGTGGAAAAAGGTGGGTTGATCAGGAAAAGTTCAAGGGAAATTGTGTATAACTAACTTGAGGTTTTTAAAGAATTAATGGAGAGGGTCAATGAAAGTAATATTACTGATGTGGTTTACGGAAGGTACCACACAACAGATTTGTGAGGAAGGTGATAGGTCATGGTACAAGAGGCAGTGACAACGTGGATATGACGCTGAGTGGTAGGAAAAGGAGAATAATGGTCAATGGATATTTTTCTGGCTAGAGGAAGGTTGGAGTGGAGTTCCTGGGGGTTAATGTTGGGACCAGCATGTTCCAGTAAGGAGGAAGGATAAGGATGGCAAGGTAAGGGGCCTTTGGATAATGCAGAAGGTTGTGAATTTAGTCAAAAGGAAAAAAAAGCATATGTAAGGTTTAGGAAGCTAAAATCAGACGGGGCCCATGAGGAATATGAAGAAAGCTGGAAAAAATACTCAAGCATGGAATTAGGAGAACAAGAAGGGGCAATGAAATGACCTTGGCAGTAGGATTAAAGAGAGTCCCAAGGCATTCTATACATACATTAAAAACAAGAGGATAACTAGGAAGAAGATAGGACCACTCAAGGAAAAGGAGGGAGCTTGTGCTTGGAGGCAGGAGATGTGGGTGAGATCCTAAATGAGTACTTTGTGTTGGTATTCACCCAGGAGAAGGATATGAACGGTAGTGAGATTAGTGTGGAGCATGCGAATATGCTAGTGCATTTTGAGATCAAGAAAGAAGTGGGTCTCTTGAAAAGCATTAAGGTGGATAAGTTCCCAGGGCCTGAACGTATCTACCCCAGGTTATTGAGAGAGGCAAGAGAGGAGATTGCTGGGGCCTTGACCAAGATCTTTGTATTCTCGCTAGCCACTGGAGAGATCCTGGAGGACTGGTGGGTAGCTTTTTTTAATTCATTTGTGGGATGTGGACGTCGCTGGCCAGCATTTCTTGCCCATCCCTAGTTGCCCTTGAGAAGGAAGTGGTGAGCTGCCTTTTTGAACCGCTGCAGTCCTCCTGCTGTGGGTTGACTCACAATGCTATTGGGGGGGAAATTCCAGGTTTTTGACCCAGCGACAGTGACGAAGCGGCGATATATTTCCAAGTCAGGATGGTGAGTAACTTGGAGAGGAACTTGGAGGTGATGGTGTTCCCATATATCTGTTGCCCTTGGCTTTCTAGATGGAAGTTTGGAAGGTGCTGTCTGAGGATCTTTGGTGAATTTCTGTAGTCCAACTTGTAGATAGTACACCTCTGCTACCGAGCGTAGGTGGTGGAATACTTGTTGATGTAGTGCCAATCAAGCGGGCTGCTTTGTCCTGGATGGTGTCAAGCTTCTTGAGTGTTGTTGGGGCTGCACTCATCCTGGCAAGTGGGGAGTATTCCATCACACTCCTGACTTGTGCCTTGTCAGTGATGGACAGGCTTTGAGGAGTCAGGAGGTGTGTTACTTGCCACAGTATTCACAGCTTCTGGCCTGCTGTTGTAGCCATTCTGTTAATGTGGTGAGTCCAGTTGAGTTTCTGGTCAATGGTAACCGCCAGGATGTTGATAGTGGGGGATTCAGTGTTGGTAACGACATTGAATGTCAAGGGGCGGTGGTTAGATTGTCTCCTATTGGTGATGGTCATAGCCTGGCATTTGTATGGTGCGAATGTCACTTGCCACTTGTCAGCCCAAGCCTGGATATTCTCCAGATCTTGTTGCATGTGAACATGGACTGCTTCAGTATCTGAGGAGTCACAAATGGTGTTGAACATTGTGCAATCATTGGTGAACATCCCCACCTCTGACCTTATGATGGAGGGAAGGTCATTAATGAAGCAGCTGAAGATGGTTGGACATTACTCTGAGGAACTCCTGCAGAGATGTCCTGGAGCTGAGATGATTGACTTCCCACGTCTTCCTATGTGTCAGATATGACTCCAACCATGGAGCGTTTGCCCCCTGATACCCATTGATTCCAGTTTTGCCAGGGCTCCTTGGTGCCACACTCAGTCGAATGCAGCCTTGATATCAAGGGCTGTCACTCTAACCTCACCTCTGGAACTCAGCTCTTTTGTCCATGTTTGAACCAAGGCTGTAATGAGATCAGGAGCTGGGTGTCGCTGAGCAGGTTATTTCTGAGCTGGTGCTGCTTGATAGCACTGTTGATGATGCCTTCCATCACTTTTCTGATGATCGAGAGGAGACTGATGGGGTGGTAATTGGCCGGGTTGGATTTGTCCTGCTTTTTGTGGACAGGACATACTAGGGCAATTTTCCACACTTTCGGGTAGATACCAGTGTTGTAACTGTACTGGAACAGCTTGGCTAGGGGAGTGGCAAGTTCTGGAGCACAAGTCTTCAGTACTTTGCTGGAATGTTGTCAGGGCCGGTAGCCTTTGCAGTATCCAGTGTCTCCAACCGTTTCTTGAAATCACGTGGAGTGAATCGAATTGTCTGAAGACTGGTATCTGTAATGCTGGGGACCACCTGGAGGAGGCCGAGATGGATCAGCCACTCAGCACTTCTGGCTGAAGATTGCTGCGAATACTTCAGCCTTATGTTTTGCACTGATGTGCTGGGGTCTTCCATCAATGAGGATGGGGATATTTGTGGAGCCGCCTCCTCCAGTGAGTTGTTTAATTGTCCACCACCATTCAAGACTGGATGTGGCAGGACTGCAGAGCTTAGATCTGATCCGTTGGTTGTGGGATCGCTTAGCTCTGTCAATCACTTGCTGCTTTTGCTGTTTGGCGTGCAAGTAGTCCTGTTTTGGCTTCACCAGGTTGATACCTTATCTTCGGGTATACCTGATGCTGCTCCTGGCATGCCCTCCTGCACTCTTCATTGAACCATAGTTGATCCCCAGGCTTGATGGTAATGGTTGAGTGGGGGGTATGCCGGGCCATGAGGTTACAGATTGTGCTGGAATACAATTCTGCTGCTGTTGATGGCCCACAATGCCTCATGGAGGCCCAGTCTCGAGTTGCTAGATCTGTGCGAACTCTGTCCCATTTAGCACAGTGATAGTGCCACACAACATGATGGAGGTTGTTCTCAATGTGAAGGCAGGACTTTGTCTCCACAAGGACTGTGCAATGGTCACTCTTGCCGACACTGTCATTGACAGATGCAACTGCAGCTGGCAGATTAGTAAGGATGAGGTCAAGTATGTTTTTTCCCCTCTTGTTGGTTCCCTCACCACCTGCCGCAGACCCAGTCTAGCAACTATGTCCTGTAGTACCCGACCAGTAGTACTGCTGCTGAGCCACTCTTGGTGGTGGACATTGAAATCCCCCACCCAAAGTACATTTTGTGCCATTGCCATCCTCAGTGCTTCCTCTAAGTGTTGTTCAAAGTTGAGGAGTCCTGATTCATCAGCTGAGGGAGGACGGTATGTGGTAATCAGCAGGAGGTTTCCTTACCCATGTTTAACTTGAAGCCATGAGACTTCGTGGGGTCCAGACCCCATGTTGAGGACTCCTTAGGCAACTCCCTCCTGACTGTATACTACTGTGCCGCCCCCTTTGCCGGGTCTGTCATAGATCATCATAGAATCGCTACAATGTGGAAACAGGCCCTTCAGCCCAACAAGTCCACACTGAACCTCGGAGCATCCTACCCAGACCCATCCCCCTATAACCCACTTAATCTACACCTCCCTGAACACTACGGGCAATTTAGCATGGCCAATCCACCTAACCTGCACATCTTTGGACTGTGGGAGGAAACTTGAGCACCCGGAGGAAACCCACGCGGACACTGGGAGAATGTGCAAACTCCACACAGACAGTCACCCGAGGCAGGAATCGAACCCGGGTCCCTGGCGCTGTGAGGCAGCAGTGCTAACCACTGTGCCACCGTGCCACCCCTGCTGGTGAGACAGGACATATCCGGGGATGGTGATGGTGGTGTCTGGGACATTGTAAGGTATGATTCTGTGAGCCTGACTATGTCAGGCTGTACTTGACTAGTCTGTGAGACAGCTCTCCCAGTTTTGGCACTAACGCCCAGATGTTACTGAGGAGGACTTTTGCAGGGTCGACAGGGCTATTTCTGCCGTTGTCTTTTCCGGTGCCTAGGTCAATGCCAGGTGATCCATCTAGTTCCATTTCTTTGAGTCTTTGTAGAGATTGGTACATCTGAGTGGCATTTCAGAGGGCAGCTGAGAGTCAACCACATTGCTGTGGGTCTGGAGTCACATGTAGGCCAGACCAGGTGAGGGTGG